CCCAAGGCCTTATAAACTCCACATTAGTTGAACATACAACCAATGTGAGACTATATATCTCAACACGCTCACTCACGCAAAAGCCCTTTGGGCTTGAAGCGTGGATTGCACAGACCTAATTTTTGGTTTACCTTTTGTGCTTTTTATTTTTAATTCTACTTTAAAGTGGGGGGCAGTGAGGATCGAACCTCAAGCTCTGATACAATGTAAAGAACTTTGGGATACACCACCCCAAAAGCTAGCTCAAAGGGTGGGAGTGCCCAAGGCCTTATAAATTCCACATCAGTTGCTCATACAACCAATGTGGGACTATATATCTCAACAGAATTTGATAGAAATGTAAATACATTCAATATATATACAATACGAATTTGAAATGGGTTAAACTTTGATACGAATATGAATAACTAATTTTGTGAATTGACAAAATATGATATGAATAATCCTCTAATAACCTCAAAATGTGTCATTTATTAAGTGAGTTGTCACAATACGATACGACAAGATACGACATAAATAATCTATAAAAAGATTAACGCGAGTCAATTTCATGTTTGTAGGGTCACACATGATATGACATAAAAAATTGTGTTAGATTTTACTTAGATGAACATGACACGAATTTAAAAATGGATAAACCTTGTTGGTCTCAGATGAACTCAAGCGAGCGGTGAATTGAGTTTTATAAAATTAATTTGCTAATTAAAAATTAACTAAAAGTAATAAATCAAGATAAGGCTAGAGAGATATTGACATAGTAATTTTTACGTAAAAAATTCAAAAGGAAAAATAAATCACGAGTCCCAATGTCAAATACCGAAATTTGACGGATTCCACTATGAAACTTGCGTACAAGTAGTTCTCTAGTATCCTAATTTTTTAGTCTACCCTTTACACAAATTATCACATGGTATCGTATTTTTCCAGTATGAAATCCTAACCTTTTAAGATTTCAAAACCCTATCACACAAGGGTTCTCAAGTTACTCTCAATTTATAAGAAAAAGAAATATGCTGCTATCCGAGTTTCACAGCATAAGAATTGGTATCCAAGTTTTCCTGTATAGACCTTCAAAAAGGTCAAGAAGAATTTTATAATTAAAATGATTTAACTCAGTGCTTCTTTTCCTCAAGCAGATAGGTTATCAGAATTTCTAAGGAGAAATATTCATTTCGTCAAAAGATGAATGTATGAATGATTATTCTTGAAAAAGCTTTTCAATTGATGCACAAGAAAGAATCTTAATCTTGAAAATCTAATTCTCTCTCTTCTCTCTTGTATTTTTTTCTTCATAAATAATATGCAATGAGTCTGCTTATTTATATTAATAACATTTTCTCTCTTCTGCTCGCATTGGAAATGTCAACTGTGGCGTTTGGAACGCGAACTTTTCCCACCAACTTTTTCAAAATTAATTTTCAAAATCTTTTCCAAAAACTAAACAAATTTTTTTTACTCTTATACGAAATTTTAAATGCAATTTTGAAAAAAATCAAAAAATATGTAAAGCATTAAATATCTTATCCTATTATGCAATGCAATCAAAATCAAAATCTATGGCAATGAATATTTTACTTCTCTTACATGAAATTTAAAAAGATAAAATATATCGTAAACTTTACTTGATTCCGTTCTTTTCTCTTTATTCATGATATCTTTCATATCTTCTCCAATCTTTATGTAATTTTTAATTATCTTGAATATTATATAATAATTTTAGAATAAATATTATTATAAAATCTTAAACAATTAGCTCATTAGTAATTTCAAGACAATAAATTATTATCAATTAAATTAACATTAAATTGATTATAATTGTAACACCCCGTATATATCCGGTAATGTTATCAATCATCGTATTAAGCTACGCTTAATTAAAAATGCGGAATATCTTTTTCTTTTCAATTATGATGTCATTAATCATTACCAACTTGCTTACTTATTCAATTAATAAAATATTGCCTGTTTGTAAATTGTAATAAAACAACTAACTGAAATACCTCATAACATAAATAACATCAATAGGTCTCTAGTCACGGAACTACAACACGTAGCCCGGACAATCCTAATAGTTTATACAACTCAAACTCAAAGAACTACACCAAGCGGCATGGACAAACCCCATGCTCGCTCAAATAAGGCAATAAAGCCCAACAACAGTCTCAACATCAACAACAATATAATAAGGCGAAAAAATAAACAACATCCAATCCACATCATGTCAGCATACGACAATATAACATGATAACAGCAAATTCATCAACTAAGCTCCGGCCTCCTGCCGCTAGAGGCATCAGCCCCAACATTACCTAAACCTGAAATAAGCGTCCCCAAACGTGGGGTGAGATCTCTAAACAAGAAATCTCAGTAAGACAAGGGGTCCTCAAGGACTCTTCCGCCCCAAGCTCACTTACAGGCATAATATAAGTTCAAAACAGTAATTTCAATGCATGTTCATGTTAAGCATATATTTCATGACATTATAATCTCTTGCTCAACGAGCTAACATTTAACTCAGTAATCATGTGATGTATGCAAATACGGTTCGACTGGCCAGGGAACAGGATATGGATTATGCACGTCTGCGACCCATCTAACATAAGAGTCGCAGTCTTATGCCTTACACATCCAGAGTCGCAATCTGATTGTGTAAGTAATCAACAGACATATTCACATATCTCAGGCATATATCAATGCATATATTATTTTCATAAAAGCACACCATGCATATAAACCACCCTCCCATGGAGGTCGGTGGAACAAACAACAGATCAATCCGAGGACACGAAAGCTTACCTTGTAAGCTAGCTATCCAAACCAAGAGTCCACACTAGCTCAAAGTCCAAACACAGCAGGATCACAATCTGATTTGGACCAACAATCATATCAATAAACATGGCTCATAAGCATAAACATAAAGACAGCGTTTCTCTTTTACGTTTTATGTCTTAAGGCAAAGCCACAAGCCCTTAATCCCTCGATTCTGACCTAACTTAAACATTACAGAAGTTCAACTTCATAAACATAGGGTCCACAAACCCATAACTCAGTTCTGTATGAACAATACCTTCACTGTTCACAAAAATCCAGAATATCCGGATATTTATCGAGGGCATATCCGGATATCTCTCTTCCAATATCCGGATATGAATATCCGGATATTCAGATCCCCATATCCGGATATTTCGCGACAGAATGCAGTTCTGCATTTCGCGAGATATCCTTCTCAAAGGTGGTTCATTTCATGCATACAGAAGCTCAAACATGCGATTTAAGGTGTGTTTAACATTACCCACCCTTAAGTTATCAACTTAGCTCATTACATGCATCAAGGTTCCATTTTTAACCAAGGAAACACAAGATCAAGGTTCAACCACTTACCCTTAGCACCAAAACAGAAAGGGTGATGCTCTTGGAGCTCTCAATGAAGCTCCTAGGTTCAGACTTGAAGGGTACACGAAAATGGCACACCAAAGGTTGATTCTATGAAGCAAAGATCACTCCATGGAGCTTCTTCAACCAAGAAATGGCTCCCACTCCTCCACTCAAGAACTCAGCCCACAACAGTCACTCAACAGCCACCTAAACTCAGAATGCAAGGCTTAACACTCACCCCAAGACTCAACCACACTCAACAAGGTGTTTAGATGAAGAAATCATGGAGAAAGGTGATGTCTTTGGAGGTTTCAATGAAGAAAACGCAAATGGAAAGATGAGGGAAAAGTAGCCGCAGCCAATGACCAGCAAACTCACGTAGTATGGCGTAGGGTTTTGTGCTAAATACATATATATAGCCACTTAACAAATAAATACACAGTATTAACATTAATTGCTACGCTTAGCATCTTAATCCCAAATTCAGGATTCTGAAGCTACTCAATTTTTCAAAAATTATCATATTTTTCTTATATTTTTCGCAGCACCTTTTCGGTACGCGCTTTTACATAGCCAGTATCAGTTCTGGCACCAGTTCTCATTATTTTAACTTGAAACTCATTTTAAAAGTCCTATATATTATTCTAGGAATATACATGCACTAATTATAACTTTCTGGGATACTTTATCGGTACACATTTATACCGACTAGCAGAACCGGTATCTGCACTTTTCTTCAGAAAAGTGACTTTCAACATTATTACTCACTTTCTATAATTATTAAAGCCTCATAATAATTATTAGGGTCAATTATGGAATTATCTCATAATTATCTAATTAATTTTTTTAATTAGCGGTGTGGGTTCTTACAATAATAATCAAAACATATTTTAGATTAATTAAACAATTGGGTTATAACAAATATCCAATAAACCTGATCACAAAATTTTCATATCGTGTTAAAAATTATCACCCCTACCAAAAGTATTCGCCAACTTTTTTATGACGAAGCGATAAAGAAAAAATTCAATCCAAAAACTTAAACTTATAACTGTTAAGGTTCATCAATAGTTTCTATATTATATCTTTCTAAGAAAAGCCATAAAGTTGTATAATAAATGAAATCGTAACACATATTCTTGATAAATTACCATTATTTATATAAGTTGATATACACAATTAAAGTCCTATTTGAGCTTAGGAAACGAAATTATAATTAAAATTATTTATATGATAAAATAATAATAACAAAGACGGTTTGAGACCACATCTTGATAGATCTTTCAAGTTCATAATCTTTTATGTATATTTGTCTGTACCTCAATGGTCAGGTTGATATGTGTCAATTGATCCGCTAAGTTGAAGAGAGTTACGGCTTCTTTGAACTTACGGCTGTTCCAAAAGTTCCCCATGAAAAAATATTAAACTACCAAAAACAAGTGCATTGAAGGGGATAATATAAGAAAATTATGAGGAGAGAATAAGAAAGGATGAGGACTGGAGGAAGAGTAAAAGAGAGGAATGAATTTGGGGATTAAACAAAGCTATTTTATTCAATCCATTTTCTGCAATATATAGGAACAACTCATATAACTAAATGATAAGAATGAAATTCTAAACTAATCCTAATCTAATTGCAATTGCTGAAAGCGTAACTGAAAGCGATAACAATAAAAAGCTAAGCTAACAAATTATTTGAATTTAAAATGATAAAACCATCTATCTAACTACTGACTCTAGGGACTGGGCTTCACTTCTCATAATCCATTAAATATTTGGGTTCCTTAGTGTGTCTTTTGGGTCTGCTCCCATATGTGTCTGCTACAATTCTCGGCCCATGAAAACTGACCTTGTCCTCAAGGTCTATCTTAATATGGACGTCTGTGATCGATTGGGAAGGAAGCTTATCAATAGTCACACTCTTCACATTTTGATTGGTTGGAAATCTGGATTCTACAATCTGATTGGTCAGTGGAAAAGGTGGTTCAGGTCCTATCTTAGCAGTCTGAGGGGCTGTATTGGCAACAGCGAAGTCAGCCTCGAGACGCGTACTCTGAGTTGTAGCAGATGTAGAGTCTTCAATTGTTGAATCCTTAAGTACATGCTTGCATGTCTGTATTGCAGAAGCACTATTTCCTTGCGAAATTGGTGGTTCTAACCCGGCGGCCTTCTCTGAGACGGCGGTGTTGGTGTCCAGTGGGTCTAGTGTTTGCTGTGGTGCTGCTGTGTCAGCATCGGTCAAGGGTGGTGTGAGTAGCTCCACCTCTGTTTCGTCTTCCCAAGTCGCCGCATCTGGGGGAAGGTCTGTCCATTGGACCAGGACTTGTGGAATCTGACGTCCCTGACGGTAAATGGTTCTAGTTGACACTATTGCGGCAGGTGTATGATGTAGTTTCGGTAGCAAAGGTAGCACCGGAAATGCAACATGAGCTGAATCCTTCGCCGGAAAATATCTTCGCAGTAGCGAGATGTGAAAGACAGGATGGATTTTAGCATCCGGTGGTAGTAGTAGGCGGTAAGCAACAGGCCCTATTCTTTCCAGTATCTTGAATGGTCCAAAAAAACGCGGTGCAAGCTTTTGGCATGAACGGCGATGGATGGATAATTGACGGTAGAAAAATTCGCCCGCGGTGCAGTAAAAGGCCATTGTTTATTTCCCAGTTGGTAGATTTATTTTTGGATGACTGTAATGCTTGCATAATCGTAGACGCATAGGAATCCTGCTGTAATTCAGACTGTAATAGTGAAGAATAATCTGAGTACGGTGCAGTGAGGACGGTAAAATGAGAGAAGGGGGTCCCAACATCCCCTTGGAGTGTACGTGAGAGACCATCAGCCGCAGCATTTGATTTACCAGATTTGAAAGTAATAGTATAATTATAACCTAACAATTTGGCTAAAAATTGTTGTTGTTCTGGTGTCTGAATAGTTTGGGACATCAGATTATGCAGACTCTTATGGTCCGTTCTAATGATGAACTGGGATCCTAAGAGATATTGACGCCACTTGGCCACAGCTGAGGTGATGGCGAACATCTCACGGATATAAGTAGATTGTTGTTGCATGCGTTTAGACAATTTGCTACTATAATAAGCAACTGCACGACCTTCCTGTAATAAAACAGCACCAATACCTGTACCCGAAGCATCCGTTTCAAGTACAAAAGGAATATTAAAATTTGGTAGAACAAGGATAGGAGCTTCAACCAATTTCTTTTTTAGACAATCAAATGCTTCAGCAGCTGCTGTTGTCCAAGTAAACTTTCCTTTGGTAAGCAAATCGGTAAGAGGAGCAGCAATTTTGGCATACTGGCGAATAAATCGCCGATAATATCCCGATAAACCTAAGAAAGCTCTTACTTGAGTTGTTGAAGATGGTGTTGGCCATTCTTTAACTGCTTGGACTTTTTCGGGGTCTGGAGATACGCCATTAGCAGACACAATATGCCCCAGAAAATGCACAGCATCAGATGCAAATGAACATTTTGAAATTTTGGCAAATAAGCGGTGAGTGCGGAGGGTTGCCAGAACATGCTGTAGATGAATAATATGATCTGGCAAGGTTGGGCTGAAAACAAGAATATCATCAAAGAAAATGACCACGAAACGTCTGAGAAATTTCTCGAAGACCTCGTTCATTGTAGCCTGAAAAGAAGATGGTGCATTAGACAAACCAAAAGGCATAACAAGAAATTCAAAGTGACCATGATGTGTTCTGAATGCAGTTTTGTAGACATCATCGGGATGCATCCTTATTTGATGGTATCCAGATCGGAGATCCAATTTTGAAAACACAGTGGCACCATGTAATTCATCCAATAACTCATCTACAGTGGGGATTGGAAATTTATTCGTGACTGTAATGGAATTTAAAGCGCGATAGTCCACACAAAATCGCCATGTTCCATCCTTCTTTTTTTACTAGTAAGACAGGAGAACTAAACGGTGAACGGCTAGGGCGAATGATGCCTGCAGCTGACATCTCTTTGCACAATTTTTCAATTTCATTTTTTTGAAAATGAGGGTAACGGTATGGTCTTACCTGGACAGGTTTGGAGTTAGGCAATAGGTTGATGTGATGGTTATGGGTACGGTCTGGAGGTAAAGTTGAGGGTGTAGAAAAGACATCATGGTATTGTTGAAGCAAGGATTGTATGTCTGATATTGGGTGGTTTAGGCTGGAAGTGTGTTCAACTGTGGATGATGCTTTTGTGGTGGTGGTAGCAAAACACATAAGGCATGAAGCTATAGTGTTGAGGGACATAAGTTTACCTAGTGTGGAGGAGGATATTGCGGTGGGAAGGTTAGGTGGATCGCCCTGTAAATTAATAGACATACCGTTGTGGGAAAAAGTCATTAATAGTTGTGCATAATCTGTCATAATGGGCCCAAGGGTAGCCAACCATTGTACGCCAAGGACTATATCAGCTCCTTTAAGATCTAGTACGAATAAGTCCAGGTTGAAGGTGTGCTTTTGGAGGACTAGTTGGACATCGCTACACATGGCAGTGCATAAAAGGCCATCACCATTGCCCACTTGTACATTAAACGGCGTAATGGACTGTAAAATAAGACCCGCATGATAAGCCATTCGCTCTGTGATAAAATTATGTGTGCTTCCACCATCAATCAAAACTTGTACTGGCTTTCCTTTAACACATCCTGTCAGTCGAAAAGATCTGGATGAAAAACTCCCAAATAAAGCATGAAGACTAATTTTCGAAAAGGATTCCGTCACAGGGATATTGGATGATTCCGAATGATCTTGTGCAGAAACATCCAGATCCAATGTTGGGTTATCTTCGTCTGTGCCTTCAAAGAATAATAAGGCAGCTTTTCCTTTGCATTTATGGCCAAAAACATATCTTTCATCACAATTGTAGCACAAATTCTTTTCCCGCTTTGTTTGCATTTCTTCTGGAGAAAGTCGCTTGATAGGGAGTGAGGGGGGTTGTGATGGGGTTTTAGAAAAAGGGACAATTTGATTTGGGTTGGTGTTAGAGTGGGAAGATTGAGAAAATGATGGTCTAGAATGCCATGGCCGATTAGGTTTTGCTGTTGAATGTGTGTCAGCAAAATGATCTTCAAATACTTTTGCCAATGAGAAAGCAGAATGAACGTCCGTCGGTCTCTGAGTTTGTACTGCGCGGCGAACATGTGGTTTAAGCCCAGCAATGAATAGTGCGCGTCGCATTGTTGGAGAGAGTCCAGGAACACGGCTTGCCAAGGCTTCAAATGCAGATTGAAAAGCGCTAACAGTACCCTGTTGTTGTAGATTGGCAAGGGCTACAGCTGGGTCATCAAATGCAGAGGGCCCAAATCGCTGCATTATTGCTGTGACAAACGTTGGCCAGTTATGCAAAAGGCCATCATTAAATAGCCCTTGAAACCACGTTGAAGCCGGTTTATCTAGATTGAAAGAGGCGAGCAGCAAACGTTCATGTTCTGGTATATTGTAATATTCAAAATACCGAGTGGCATTAAATATCCAATCCGACGGGTCACCATCGGAGAAGCGTGGAAAAGTCGCTTTATGCTGTTTATTTTGACCGTGATCACTGGTACTAGATCCATTACGTGTAGGTCCAGACCCTAATATGCCAGAACTGGAATTCTTGGAATGTGTAGTGGCTTGTTGTATCTCTAGAATTCTGTTAACACTTTGGTTTAAAAGAGTAAACTGCCGTTCTTGAGACTCTTGCAATTGGGTGTGGGATTCTTGTAATCCAAGAAATTGTTGCTCGCGTACCCGTTCTGCAGTTTGTAACTGTTGTTCCAGGGAGTCAACACGTTGTGCTAATTCTCGTAAGCGTGTGTTCTCTGCCATGGGAGGAAGAGATCATATGAAAGCACCAATGAAGGGGATAATATAAGAAAATTATGAGGAGAGAATAAGAAAGGATGAGGACTGGAGGAAGAGTAAAAGAGAGGAATGAATTTGGGGATTAAACAAAGCTATTTTATTCAATCCATTTTCTGCAATATATAGGAACAACTCATATAACTAAATGATAAGAATGAAATTCTAAACTAATCCTAATCTAATTGCAATTGCTGAAAGCGTAACTGAAAGCGATAACAATAAAAAGCTAAGCTAACAAATTATTTGAATTTAAAATGATAAAACCATCTATCTAACTACTGACTCTAGGGACTGGGCTTCACTTCTCATAATCCATTAAATATTTGGGTTCCTTAGTGTGTCTTTTGGGTCTGCTCCCATATGTGTCTGCTACATGCATGCTTTTTACAGTGCATGTGGGTCCCAATTGAGCACTATCTGATTTGATTCCTTTGGTAAGATTAGGCCGTGGATGTAAAACAAATGTCTACTTAAAAATGTTCAAACATTGGGGCGTGATATAATACGCGCTCGAGGATTGGGAATTGCACTATATTTGGCACGAATGCATGGCACATGAACTCTCACGTACCTGGGAGAAATTGAGTGCAAAAGCCATTTCGAGTGCTTCCACTTTGAATTCGATTGAAATGAAATGGGAATTTAATACAAATTCACAAATAGAGAATCTTCGGCCTTATCTATAAATATAACCCCATCTTTTTGTTCTACTTGTTAATTTCAATTCTCTCTTCATTCAACTTTTATTGTCTTATATATATATTTACGTTTTCTCTTTCCATCAATGGGTGGCTCAGAAAATCTCATAAGAGAAGTGTTATGTCCCAACTGTCTGTCGTCCCTCAAGATTACTCCCACTAATCCTCAAGCTTCAATAACCCATCAACAGCCACCCATGATTACCATCAAGGATATTGTTTATCCAAGATTTAATGAACGTTCTAAGGGTTCCAATACTTCGAGTTCAACCACTAAGCCCGCAGGAACAACATTACCCACTATTCAGAAGATCTTTGGCCGCAGAGCAGGTGGCACGGCATGACCACACCTTATTGTTAAAAATATAATATAAATATAAACTCATATTCGTCTATCTTACTGAATATCTTAAGTTGTTGGGAGAATTGATTGCTTCAAATGGTACGAAAGTTTCTATTATCATGAAGTGGTCAGAAGTTGGATTATTTCCATCTCATTCTTCTAATAAATATTATATTATGAGTTTTTTTAATACAAATAGGTAGGTTTGTGTATTATTGATACAACATGAAAAAAGAATCATTCATCCAATTGCAACTAATTAGCTAGTAACAAAGTCATTTGATCGTAACTGAAATGAAAATTGTTGCAACACTTTTGGTTGATACGTAATAAATAAGAAGATCTGTAATTAATTGAGAATAATATCAAGAATCATTTTTCTTTCGTATGGTCATTTTTCTCTTTGTTTCTTTCACTTCTATCACTTGAGAAGAGAAATAAGTTATTGTGAAATAGGACGTGTTATAAATATAATATTAATATAAAATTATCCATGTCCCTTAAATTTTAGAAGAAATAGTTGTTTCACAATTGTATCTTATGATGCACTGACACTGACACGGGTCACGACACGACAGACACGCCGACACGTTAATTCTAAAAAATGTTATATTTTGACACGTTGGGACACGTTTTGATATTAAATAAAATTTTTAATATATATAATATAATTTATATTTAATACATATAAGAGTCCATAATAAGTCATATAACCAATAAAATATTTAAATTTCATAACATAAATATAAACAAAAATAATGTTTCGTACTTTGTTAATTATTCATGTCAAATTTCATAACAGAAATTTTTTTTTTTATAAATTATTATTTTTATATTTAGTTAATAAAATAAAATAAAGACTAAAAAAAAATGTGTTGGAACGTTGACCGCGTGTCGAAAAAAGTTGACTGCATGTCAGAAAAATGTCTCGGAGAGTTGACCGCGTGTCGAAAAAAGTTGACTGCATGTCAGAAAAACGTGCCGGAACGTGTCAGAGAGTTGACCGTGTGTCCTAAAATATTGACCGCGTGTCTGTGTCGGACACGTAAATTTTTTTAAAAAGCCATGTCCATGCTTCTGAGCTTGTATCCATTGTTGTTAAAAATTAGTGTAAAAAAATTACGTTTTTACTTTTTCACTAGAGTGATGCATGTTAAAACATAAATAAAAACTCTCCTCAGTAAAAACTGATAAAAATTAAGCGTAAAGATGGTAGAAACACAAGTTTTTACATTTTTACTTAAATCAAAAAATTGAAGGGGGTCAACTTTTAACCCATGACTTGATTTTATTTTCATTTTTTAATAAAATAAAATTTAAAAAAACTATTTCCATCTCCCGCAAATCAAATGACAAGTATCTTCTGTTAGCTATCTGGAAAAAAATATCCTTGCGCGAGGCAGCTTTATTTCCATTTAAGAGTTGTTAAACTTTTTTCTTTTGATGTTGTGGAACTTGGTTATAAGAGTTATTAAATTTTTTTGTGTTTTTGGACTTATGTCTTATAAGTTATGTGACTTATATCTTTTAAATATAAAGTTATTCTTTGAATTTTAAATAGTGACTTATGTGATTTTTTTTTATATTCATGCATATATAATTTTGTATCTTGACATTAAGTAATACAAATTTTATGTTTCGTATTGTTTCTACGATTTGATTTTTTACCATCCCCTTCTATTTTTGCATAAAAACTTGATTTTGATAAAATTACTTGTATCCGTGCATAACTTTAAATAAAAAAACACTTCTATTTTCCCATCTTTTGCGTAACTTCTTCGTACACGCGTGATGAGTATATTTATATTTTAAATGGGTGTACTATATAAAGCACTGAAAATATTCTTGTGCAATTCCATCCTTCTCGGTTGAATAGTGTGCAACTGTGTGAATGCGGCATGCGCTTTGTCAACTAGCTAGTTTTCTTTCTTTTTTTCTTGCTTTTACTTTATTACGTTTTATAAGTTGTGCCCCTCGTGTCACGTTTCTCGGAAATGAATGTAATAATTATCATTATTATTAGGAGACAGGACGAAATGAGGTAAGATGAAAGCACAACATATGGAATTGTGCTTTCACATATTCCAATTCCAACCCAGACCCCGACAGCATATCCATTCGTTAATGCAAGGTAATATTCTACGTGAAAAAAATATTAAAGGGAAGAATGTGGAGGAAAAAAAATATTAAGGGGAGGAGAAGTCAGAAACTTAGGAATAGAAAACCCGCACACAAGGCAAACATACAATATCTAAATAACAAAGACAAACTAAAGACACAAAAATTAAATAATAGAAAGATACCAGGAAGAACACCTTACGAAACCTCATGCATGTGGAAATAATTCACCAGCAACCATATAAGTGGAGAAGGTAACACTTCCTAATATATATTTTTTTTCAAAAAAAAAATAGCAGCAGAAACTATATGCATACCTCTCTTTTGAATCGCTTATCTTTTTACGTTGTGTATGATACATGTAGGAGTGTGCATAGATCAGGTCGGGTCAGGTTTTTGTGCCGACTCGACCCAACATAGTTTTTATAAGTCAGGTATTTTGATCTGATCCGCTTTAATTTGATCCAAGTCAGGTCTGATTTGGTTTTAATTTTTTTGAACTAGTTCAGAACCGGATCGGATCTGACCTGACTTGGTTTCTGAAGTGGGTTTGATTTCATTTCTGAAGTGGGTTAAATTTGACCTAACCCGTTTTTGACTTGGTTTCAAAATATGTTTTTAATTTGATTTTTTTATAGTTATTGATTTATTTTTTAAACTCATGAAATTTCTACGTTGCAAACGAAGAAAATTTCGTCACAAAATTATTTTTTCGTCAAAATTCTTTTGTCGAAAAGCGATGGAATTTTTTCTATAATGAAATTTTTTACAAAAATAAATTTTCTATCGAAATTTTCAACGAAATTTTGTTTCCGCCAAAAGTTTTGACGAATATGATTTCCTCCATCAAATGTTTTGAACGAAAAAAAAATTCTGTCAAAATTTTTGACAGAATGTTTTTCGTTCAAAATTTCGATGGGAATGTGTTCTGAAGAAAATTGTTTCAAGGGAAATGTTTCATTCGAAACTTTCGATGAAATTTAGATTCTCTAAACAATTTTGATAGAATATTTTTTCCGTCAAAATTTTTTATCGAAATATTTTTTGTCAAAAATTTTTACGAAATTTTTTGACAGAAATGTGTTCCGTTGAAAATTTCGACGGAAATGTTTTTTTATCAAAAAACTGGACGAAAATATTTAGTCGAAAATTTTCGATGGAAATGTGTTTCGCTAAATATTTCGACGAAATTTTTTTTGTGTCAAAAATTTAACGAAAATGTTTCCATAGAAAAATTTCGCCGAAATTTGAATTCTGTAAAGAATTTTGATGAAATTTTTTAAAAAATTTCGATGGAAATGTGTCTCGTCGAAATTTTTGATGAATATGTTTTTTTGTGAAATATTTTGATGAAATTTAGATTTCGTAAAAAAAATTGACAAAATTTTTTTTCCATCAACTTTTTTTACAGGAATATTTTTAGTCACAAATTTTGATTAAAATATTTTTCGTAAAAAATTTTGACGTAATTGTTTTATTTTAAAACTTTTCATTTAACGTAATTGTGATTTTCTTTTTCTTTTTTTTCACATAATGGGTGTGGGTCAAGTTTTGGGTCAATGGGTCATTATTAAAACAAGTCAGGTCTAAAACTGATCCAAATAAAGGTGGGTCAGTATTTAAACCCAGTTAAAAAAATAGATATTTATAAGTCACGTCAAGGTCAGATCAAGGGCAGGACAAGTGAACCAATTTTTTTACACATCTCTACATTGAAGGACAAAGAAAAATGGATTATGTATACAATATCAGGTTTGAATATTAATATTATTTATTGTGATAGAATTTTTTTGTTAGCTTATATT